GGGGGGGGGGGGGGTGCGGAGGGACTGAGTTGCTCGGGAAAGATGAGTCCATGGGTGAGGGTTGTGGGTAATGGGTGGATGTACCCAGCTGTGGGGTGGAGCACTCTGGTACTCCTGCCTTGAGTGCTGGGAATGGGGCTTCTTGGGGTGGGACTTGTGGGGTGATGACCACCCTAAACAGGCAGGTCTTGAGCCAAATGTTTCCTATAAGAGACAACCCCTCTCTGGTGCCAGCCTCCACCAGGCATGTGGGTGCACCCAAAGTACACCACGAGGCCGTGTTGCCCACCCAGGCTGACACTCCCAAACTAGCACCCCTCTAAGAAACCCCCCGGGAACCTGCCCTATTTTACTGGGGGTGAAGGCACCATGCCCTGCACCCCAGCACTGCCGAGGGAGCACAGCGGGTGGAGCAGGGGTCCAGCGGTGATGGGGGTTCATCTGGCTGCACTGAGGGACTGACAGAGGTGAGGGCGGGTGGCGGAGGTTGGCACTGCGCTGCTTTGCATTTTCAATGACAGACCCATGCCGGGTGCTCGGGAGAGTGGAAAAATCTTATTTGTCACCTGCTGGCGATGCGCGGAGGCTCCCGCGCCGCGGCTAATCTTGGGGAAAATGAGGATGCCGGCGGGGTAGCCCGCGGGATGGGCAGGGCAGAGTGGGGCTGGTGAGCTGGGTGCTGCCCAGGGCCTGTTTGCGATCAGAGCTCTGGGCCACGGGATGGTCGCACCCACTTGGTGATCTCTGGGTGTGTTGGCCCCATGGCACGGATCCTGCTGTTTTGTGTGTGTGGGCTGGGCAGCGCTTGGGCATCCAGAAGCAGGTGCTCTGTCACCCAGCCCAGTCTACAAAGGGGTAAACTCTTTTCTTCCATCCCAGCTGAAGGAGCATCTGCTTGCCTCACAGTACCAGTTCCGCAGGTTGGCACTGCTTGCACATCCTTTCAGGGCACTCAGTGGACTTTTTTGGGGAAAGTCAGCACTTGGAAGCGGGTGCAGACACTGCCTGATGCCCCATATTGACACACAGGTGCCCATCCCACACCCTGGCTTTTTGAGTTGCCAACACCTGCGGGACGCCGCAGCACTCTGCGGCCAGCTCAGATTTATCCATTATTTTATATCCACACGCCTTTAATTTTTACAGCCCTGTTGGAGCAATACCCAGGGCTGTTAATAACACCAGGCCCTCCCCCACCCCCCATGTGCATGCATCATGCTCCAACCAAGGTACCAAGTGTGTCTCGGGGCTGGGTAAGTGCAGGCTTAGGGAGGCTGGTGTGCGGCATCCAGTCCCATGCCCCTGTCTTCCAGCCAGCACCCTCATAAGCAGCAGGCTTGGATTCCCTGTGGCCACCCATGAAGCAGCCTGACTGGGTGCCCTTGCATCCCCCTGGGGTTGGTGATACCTGTCTGGTTGGGATGCCCAAGCCTGGGGTGTCTGTCTCGTGAGATTCATGATTCTCTCATGATTCTCTCATTTCATCTGCCCTATGAAAGCTGCAACACCTGAGCTCATGTTTAGTGTGCCAGGGTACATGAGGATGGCAGTGAACGCTTGAGTGTGAGAATGTGCGTGGAGGCACAGAGTGTGTGTCTGTGCTGCTGCATGTCAGTGTGTGTGGGTGTACATGTGATGTACATGTGTGTGCCACTGCCTGTGCAGGTGATGCTGTGTCTCACTGCTGCAGAAGGCAACGTGCCCGGGCCGTGCCCAGCACCCCAGCACAGGAAAGCACAGCCTCAGCAGTCCCAGGCATCCAGAGCCATGCCTGGGGCCAGCCCACAGTGCCCGCAGGACAAGACAGTAAGTCCCACATCACTGAGCCACCTGTGCCATGACAAGCAGGGCCCCATGCCACCACGCAGCACCCAGTATGTGCTGTCCCTCCCCAGCACCCAGGAGATCCAGAGCCCCCTCTGAGCACCCAGGGATGTGCTGGCATGGGAGGGTGAGGGTAGCAGGGCACCCCTGAGCAGGACAGGCAGGACAGCCGCCGGGTGCCAGAGTACCCAGGCACTGCAGGGGGGCACTGTGGGAATTGCTGGGCTATAAATCTCCTTGCTGGGCCCCCCCGTGGCAGAGCAGCTCACGATATTTATGTTGGGGATTTATCTGCAATGCAGTTTAATATTCCCGGACCTTCCCGTGTGTGTTTGAATGCACGGCTTCCTCCTCGTGCCACCCCGTGCCACCCCCCTGCCCACCCTCTCACCCGGAGCCTTCCAGGCTCCGTCTCCTGCCCACCCACAGTCCCGTCCCCTTGCACCCACCCTGGCAGAAGGGACCGGGACAGGACGGGCCCCCCAGGTGCCCTGGCAGGGAGGGGTGTACCGCGCCGCCGGGATGCTCCTGGTCGGCCGTGCCCACCTGTGCCCCTCCTGGGTGTCCGGCTGCCGGGGGGTGGGCGGCAGGGTCCCCTGAAGGGAAATGCCAGGCGGACTGGCACTGCCAGCCCTGTGCCAGCCCCACCCCCGGGATAAAGGGTCCCGGGGACCCCCCTGCCCTACCTCCCCGCCGGCGGGGATGAGGTAAGGCTGGCGAGTGGCACAGGGCTGCTTCATTTGCATAATAATCTCGTTAATGGAGCCTGGCCTGCGGGAGAGCCGGGCTGGAGACACCACCCCCTCCCCGCCCCGCCGCCTCCCTCCGGCCCCGCCGCTCCGCCAGCCGTGGCGCGGGGCGCGGAGCGGAGCGCGCAGCCGGACGGGCGGCGCGGGGCCGGCCAGCCCCCGGCAGCCTCCTGACACCCTCCGAGAGAGCCGGTGAGCACCCCCCGGGGCCCCCCGTGCAGCCCGGACAGCGTCCCCGAGCATCCCGGCAACGTCGCTCCAGCATCCCGGGAGCATCCTCCAAGTATCTCGGTGAGCAAACGACGAGCGACCCCCGAGCACCCGCGTACTTCCCGGGCAGCAGAACGAAGATCATCCCCCCGGCATCCCTCGAGTACCTCGGTGAGCAGCCCGCGAGTCCCCGTGCCTGCCGGCGGGTACTCCGCGAGCATCCCCCGAATATCCAGGGCATCATCCCGGGGAGCACTTCCCGAGCATCCCTCGAGCAACCCTCGAGCATGCCCCCGAGCACCAAAGGCATCATCCCGGCCGGCATCTCCCTAGCACCTCCCGAGCATTTCCCTACCATTCCGGCAAGCACCTTCCCGAACATCCTGGGCAGGCAGCGTCCTCCGAGCATCGCGGGCAGCATTCCCCGGGAACCCCCGAGCATCCCCTGAGCATCTCGGGCAGCGTACTGAGCAGCTTCCTTCGAGCTTCCTGGGTAGCTCCCTGCGCCCCCCATGCCTTGCCGTGCCGGCTGCCGTCCCCGCTAACTTTCCGACGGCAGCAGCTCCCTGGCACGGGCACAGCCGGGCTGCTGCGCCGGGGCACAACTTTGCCCAAGTTGCGGAAGGAACGGGGGCACGGGGGAGCCCCGCTGTGGGGATATGGCCACCTCCCTAGCAGCTCTTTGTCCCCAACCCATACTCCCTCACCTGCAAATCCGGATACCATTCTGCACCAAGCAAGAAGCGGGGTCTCCTTTTGAAACCCTCCCCCCCCAACCCATTTACGTCCCCACCCTCCTTTCCCTATGGGCAGACCCCTTCCTCCCCAGCATGTCACCTCTGACAGACACTCCTGCCTGTCGGACACCAGCCAGAGGAGAGGGGTTGGGTAGATGGTGGTGGTAGTCGTGGGGGAATGCTGTGAGGTGCCCATGGGGTCCAGGGCTGCCCCCAGACTGGAATTAACTTTGTTCACACATCACGCACCGCGCCACAATTTGACACAACGCAATGCAACACGGCTCACCACACCACCCCACACGGCACGATGCAACACCACCTTCCACGGCACAGCACCATCCATGCAACCCAGCGTGGGGCCACACAACTTGAGCCAGCCCACAGCACCCCAATCCAACGCCCCCCCTCACAAATCTCTCCAAAGCCCCTCTTCCCCAAGCTTCTCATCCCATCCATACCCCACGCAGAGGGGCTGGCAGCCCTGTGCTCCCCCTGCTTGGGAAGGGTTCTCATGATGCTGAGTTTGGGTTCACTGGAACACCCTGGACCTCCACCCAGCATGGGTGCTCTGGCTGGAGAGCTGTTGGGGTGTGTGGGGGTGTGAGATAGCTGTGCCAGGGACTGAAACCTGCCAGCATGCAGGCAGGACCCTGCCCTGTCACTAAAGGAACTGGCAGAGGGAACAGCCATGGGATAGAGGTGCCACTGAGCCCCTGGCACTATGGACAGTCCCAGTGCTGGTGGTGGGGCATACATGGGGATGGATATACAGGCAGCAATGACGACAAGAAGCAACCCCCCTCCCCAGCCCTTGCTCCTCCCAAACCCCCCCTCATCCATCTCCTCTGCCTTTTCCAGGAGCTTCCTGACACAGCTGGACATCACCACTTCCCCATGGCAGCCACGGCTCCAGCATGAACTGTGGGCTGCCTGAGCCTGCCCTCCACCTGCCCTGAGCCCCCCGCATCAGTGCTGCTGGCAGGGAGTCCCATCCCCGGCCATGGAGAAGACCTACTCATTGACAGCACACTACGATGAGTTTCAGGAGGTGAAGTACGTGAGCAAGTACCAGAGTGGGACCCTGCCCAATGGCTTTGCCCTCCAGCTGGGCGCAGGGGCCAAGAAGCGCCGTGGGGGGCTGCCACGCTGGAGCCGCCGGGAGGTCTGTCTGCTCTCAGGGCTGGTCTTTGCTGCGGGGCTCTGCGTCATCTTGACGTGCATGTTGGTCCTCAAGTACCTGGCGGCCGAAGGGGACAGCTACTGCCTGGAGGGGTGCCAGGAGAAGAAGGCCTTCCTGAGGGCATCCCGCTTCCTGAGCGCCAACATGGACTCTACCATCGACCCTTGCCAGGACTTCTACTCCTTCGCCTGTGGCGGCTGGCTCCGGCGACACGGCATCCCCGAGGACAAGCTGGTGTACGGCACCATCGGGGCCATCGCCGAGCAGAATGAGGCCAAGCTGCGGGCGCTGCTGAGCCGCCCCGTGCGGCGCCGAGCCCGCGCCTCGGCAGAGAGGAAGGTCAAGGAGTTCTTCCGCTCGTGCCTGGACCGGGCTGAGATCGATCGGCTCGGCCCCCGGCCCATGCTGGAGGTCATTGGGGAGTGCGGTGGCTGGGATGCCCCTCCGGACCGCAGGGACATCAACGAGCTGCTCTACAAGACTCAGGGGGTCTACAGTGCTGCCGTGCTCTTCTCCCTCACCGTCAGCCTGGACGAGAGGAACACTTCCCGCTACGTCATCCGGGTGAGGGCACCGTGCCCCTGCGGCTGCCCCCTGCCCCGGCCACCCACCAGTGCCGCTGCCACCTGCCCGATGTCCCTGCCCTTGTTGCAGCGGCACTGGGTGCCTGTGCACTGGGTGGGCTTGGCTATAGCAGATGACAGGGGTGGGGACCCCTCCTGTCCCTGGGGACCCTCCTGTCTTTCTAGCATGGGATCCCCTGTGTCAGGCTGCTCTGGGTTGAGTGTGGCACCTCCAGGACCGGGCTGGTGACATGGGCAGGGGGATGTACAGAGTGAGGCAGTGCCTCATGCCTGGGTGCTGAGGACAGCCCAACAGGGCACCAGGGTCTCCACAGTGCTGGCAGTCAAGCCCCTCACCTTGGCATTGCGGCTGCCGTCTGTACGCAGGGGGCAAGGCCCAGGCAGAGGCAGGGAGACACCCACCAATCCCTCAGCACTGTGCCAGGGCATTTTCCTATGGTGTTCTCAGTCTTTCCCACCCCTGCCAGACCATGTCCCTCACCCTGTGGTGCCACCAGAGTACAGGTGGGCATTATCTGGCTGGCCAAGTCTCTTGGTGGGTGTGGGGGTGCAGTGGTGGGCATGGTGGGAGCACAGCAATGGCACAGTGGGGATGCTGTGGCGGGCTCGGTGTGGGCACGGAGGAGGGCATAGTAGGGACAAGGTGGACGTGGTGCTCATGGTGATGGCGTGGTGGGGGCGAGGTGGTGATGATGGAGAGGGCATTGGGGACACACAGTGGTGGGGAGGAGCCGCTCCGTTCCCTGTGAGATGGTGGGGCTGTGAGAGATGAGTGTGAGCGGGTGTGCGGGGCTGCCGGCTCCGGGCCGCGCGTGTGTGACACTAGAGGGAGCGTCTGTCACAGGGAAAGGGTGGGCGGCTGAGCCGGGACCGGGAGTGCGCGGGGTGGGACACGGTGGGCGTGGGGGGGAGATGGGTGTGACAGCCAGGGCTGGGGGTCAGGGCTGGGGGTGTCGGGGAGGTGTGATTGGGGGTGGGCGTGCGATGGGTGTGAGTGGACAAGGTGTATGAAGGGGACTGGGGTGTGTGTGAGGGCTGCAGGTTCAGCACCCGTCTGGGAAAGCCAAAGGGGCAGGAGTGATGAGGGAGATGGGGAAGGAAGGCTGGGGGTGCCCGTGGGTGTGCGGGAAACGCTGCGGCTGTGTGAGTGGAGGGGGACTGGTGAAGTGAGTTGTGGGGAGCTGAGACAGAGAGAAGGAGAGGGTACATGTGGTTACAGCACAGCAGGGGTGTGTGTGAAGAGCAGGGGTGTCCATGCAGCTCACCATGCAGGCTGCAGCATAGGAGTGGGGCTGGCCATGGGGCAGGTGTGGGGACACCAGGGAGCAGGGGCAGAGTGGGGCAGAGAGCAGTGGCAGCATAGGGCAGGCTATGAGGCAGCCTTTGTGCCAGTCAGGCCATGGAGCAGGGACCTGCTCTCTGCTCACACTCCCAGCCTGGTGCACGCTGCCTTTTGCAGCTCCAGCAGTCTCTAGCAGGAAGGAAACTGAGGCACCGATGTGCCCATTCCTGGGGCTGTTCCAGCACATTGCCATCCTCTGGCTCCAGGGACACCAGAGGCACTCTGTGACACTGGGAATGTGAGGGGTGCCTGGCTCAGCACAGCCCCTCTCCCTCTGCTCACCCACTGCCACTGTCTCTTGCCCCCAGATCGACCAGGATGGGCTGACCCTGCCTGAACGGACCCTCTACCTTGGGCAGGATGAGGAGAGCGAGAAGGTGAGGGGGGCACAACCATTGGGGACACCAGGAGAGGGACCAGCACCCAGCATGGTTGGCAGACAAAGGGCACCCCCCTGCCAGCCGTGCCAGGGACTGGGGTGCCACAGGACAGTGGGGGGTGGCACTAAGCATCCTTCCCTCTGAGTAGATCCTGGCTGCATACCGAGTGTTCATGGAGCGACTGCTCACCCTCCTGGGGGCTGAGCACGTGGAGCAGAAAGCCCAGGAGATCCTGCAGCTGGAGCAGCACCTCGCCAATGTAAGGGGGATGCATGCCATGAACTTTGGGGTGCCCTTGTCCAGCCCTTGGATATCCCAGTTGTAGATGTTTGGGGATGTCTGTATCTGCTTCTGAGCAATTCCATTCCAATCCCTTTATGGGGACTTCCACTCCCAGCCCTTGGGGACCTTCATACCTGGAACCTGGGGATCTCAACCTCTTGAGGACCTCGTGGCAGAGCTTCAGGGACCCAGTCCCACATCCTGAGAACCCCCAGTCCCAGCACTTGGGAAAATCCCTCCAGCCCCGCATCTACTCCTTGTGAGGGCACTCCAGGCCTTTGTAGACTCCATATCCAGGTCTTGGGGACCTCAGTCTGCACCATGGGGGGACATGTGTGCCCATTCCTCAGATAACCCAGTTCCTTGGCAACCTTTTGACCAGCCCTCAGGTTCCCACTGCCAGCAGAGGGTTCCTGGGGCAGGGAGTGGGAAGGCTGTGGGTCAGTACCCACATCAAGAGATGTCCTGTTGCCCCAGAGCTGTGCCCCATCCCAGTGTACTATCCCAGTGTCACCCTCAAGGTGGCAGTGGGATGGTGACAGCCATGCCCACCGTGTGCAGATTACAGTGTCCGAGTATGATGACGTGCGGAGGGACGTCGGCAGCATGTACCACAAAGTGACCCTGGCCGAGCTGCAGCGCATCACCCCCACGGTGGGTACCCCTGGGGCCAGCCTGTCACCCTGTCCCCCCTCTTCCTGTGCCCCACACTTGTCCCTGTCCCCCTGCTCCATGCCCACAATGCCCACCACCCTTCCCAGTTAAATCCACTTGAGTATAATGCACTCCTCTGGTGGAAGGCTGGAACGCCTGGAGGGGGTTCCCTCCAGGGTGGCATGGAGTGGGGGTCCCCATGCCCCCCTGACCGTGCCTGCCCTGGCAGCTCAAGTGGAAGCGATTGCTGGACCGCATCTTCCACGACAGCTTCTCGGAGCAGGAGGAGGTGGTGCTGCTGGCCACCGACTACATGCACAGGGTGTCTGACCTCATCCGTGTGACACCCAGCAGGTGAGAGGGGCTGGCACCCCCTGTGCCCCTTTCCCAGCCTGGCAGGGGGCACAGGACAGCTGTGCCTGGAACCTCCCACCATCACCCTCCTCCTGGGAAGGCCAGGCTGAGCACAGAAAAACTGGGAAATCTTGTGGGAAAAGGCACTGTTGTGAGCCCCACAGCATCCTGGTCATGGCTGGACACCTGGTGAGGCACTCATGCTAGAGGTCGCCAGACTCATCACACATCAGGGGGGGACATGCTGCCTGTCCCTGTGCCCCCACCAGCCACAGCCCCCCTGTGTTCCTGAGCAGAGGTGTCCCCGGGCAGGGGTGTCCCCATCCTGGCACATGCTCCCACCTTCCCCTGTGCCTGGGGACATGCTGGGGGCTGACCCTGTCCCTGTCACAGGATCCTTCACAACTACATGCTGTGGCGCATCGTGGTGGTGCTGAGCGAGCACCTCTCCACCCCGTTCCGCGATGCCATCCACGAGCTCTCCAAGGAGATGGAGGGCAATGAGAAGCAGCTCGAGCCGGGTAAGATCTGCCTGAGCCAGGCCAACAAGCACTTTGGCATGGCCCTGGGAGCCCTCTTCGTTGAGGAGCACTTCTCCTCTGCCAGCAAAGCCAAGGTAGGTGATGCTGCCTATGGGCATGAAGCCACCACGATCTCCCATCACCTTGCCAAAGTGCCTACTGCCCCCACCAAGGGCTGTCTGGCCGGTGATGGATGGTGGGGATGCCATGCCAGCAACATGGTGACCCACCACAGGTGCAGCAGCTGGTGGAGGACATCAAATACATCCTTGACCAGCGCCTGGATGAGCTGGACTGGATGGACGAGGAGACACGGAGAGCAGCCAGGGCCAAGGTAGTGGCCCCCAGCATGCACTCCTGACTTTGGCCCCATCACCAGCACGGGAGCACATGGGATAGGGGCCTGAAGCCACCACTCATTTTGCCCACAGCTCCGGTATATGATGGTGATGATTGGGTACCCCGATTTCCTCCTGAAGCCAGAGGCCATCGACAAGGAATATGAGGCAAGGGATAGCCCAGGAGCATGTGAGGGCATGGGCACACAGTGGGGGAAGATAGTACCCACATCTGCATCAGGGTTGGTAAGGATGCCACCCCAAAATGAGCCCCCTCCTGGTGCTCACTGGGCTCACTGCTGGCAGGGTGCCCCACACCAGCATTGCCATACAGTGCCTGGGGCCTGGGATGGTGTCTCCTTCCCCACACTGCAGCTCCCAGAGCTCAGCCCCATCCTCAGCAGGGGCTGGGGGTGCCAGCCTGGCCCAGGGACCTCATGGAGCTGATGGAGAAGCAGCTGTCCCTGTGGGCACACAGCACGGGACATGAGAACACGCCACACATGCACACAGTCACTGAGGCTCACAGAGGTGGGAGGACACCACAGGCCTGCCCTCCACACCCTTGGGGCTGGCATCTCCCCTGATGTGGCTGTGTCCCCCCAGTTTGAGGTGGATGAGAAGACCTACTTCAAGAACATCCTCAACAGCATCGCCTTCAGCATCAGGCTCTCGGTGAAGAAGATCCGGCAGGAGGTGGACAAATCTGTGTGGGTATCCCCTTGCCCTGGGGGGACACCGAGGGGCCCAGCATGGTGCCACCAGTGTCCCCTGTCCCCATGCCCAGATGCACCCCACAGGGCAGAGGGGCACAGGGATGCCAGGAGTACTCCCCTGTTGCCCAGCTCTTCAAAGGGGTGGCACTTCCATGTCCCTCGGTGCTCTGCAGCCCAGCACTGCTGTCTCTCCTTGCAGGTGGCTGCTGCCTCCCCAGGCACTGAATGCCTACTACCTGCCCAACAAGAACCAGATGGGTAAGCACTGCCCGTCCCCGATCCTTCCCCAGGGCAGGAGCGGGGAGGATCTGGAATGGGGACAAGGCCCAGGGTCCCCTGGTGCTGGGGGACACTGTACAGGGCAGGGTGACACCCAGCTGCAATGTTTTTCTATATCCCCAGTGTTCCCTGCTGGCATCCTGCAGCCCACCCTCTACGACCCCGAGTTCCCGCAGTGAGTGTGGGGCTGGGGATGGCTGGCGGGTTGCCGTGTCATGGGGTCACCCCCATCCCTGCCAGCACAGTGCTCTCCACCCTCTGACCTCTGCTCCCCACCCAACAGGTCGCTGAACTATGGTGGGATTGGCACCATCATTGGGCACGAGCTGACCCATGGCTATGATGACTGGGGTGAGTGTCCCTCCTATATCCTGCCGGGATGTGAGGATGGGGTGAGGCAGCCAGGCAGGACACCTGGGTCCCTTGGGACTATTGGAGGTGGCGCTTGCCTTGGCAGGGGGACAGTACGACCGGCACGGGAACCTGGTGCACTGGTGGACGGAGCGGTCGTACAGCAAGTTTCTGAAGAAGGCGCAGTGCATTGTCAACCTCTACGACAACTTCACTGTCTACAACCAGAGGGTGAGAGCCCCCTCTGCTGCCGGGCAGTGCCCAGCAGGACACAACTGTCCCACGGTGGGGTCCCTGCTGCTCCATTGCTCAGGCCTGGGTGCCTGCAGGAGAGCTGACTCTGCCCTGCCCAGCCCTGAGACCCAACAATTCATCACACCTTAGCTTGGAAATTCCTCAGGGCACTGGGCACAGCCTCGGTGCTGGGGTGGGGATGGGGACACCTCTGTTCATGCTGTAATTTATCCTCTCTTGGCAGGTGAATGGCAAACACACACTGGGGGAGAACATCGCTGACATGGGGGGGCTCAAACTCGCCTACTACGTAAGTGTCCCCCACCCTGCGTGTCACAGCCATGGGGCAGCTGCTTATGCCATCCCTCTTGAGTGGGCAGGAGATCCCCCCAGCCCCTCCTTCCTCCCTGCAGCAAGGGCCAGCCATGATCCTCATTGCTGGGGGCTTGGGGTGGGTTCAGGGTGGGTTTGGGGGAGTGCCCAGGCCATGCTGAGGGTACCCCTTGTTCTCCAGGCCTACCAGAAGTGGGTGCGGGAGCACGGCCCCGAGCACCCCCTGCACCACATGAAATACACACACGACCAGCTCTTCTTCATCGCCTTTGCCCAGGTGAGCAAAGATGTTCACCTCACATCTAACAGGTATTGGGGCAGGAGAGTCACCTTATATGGGGCCAGCAGCCCAAAGGGATGGTGCCATGGCCAGGAGTGGACTCGGCTGCATCAGCAGGTCCTGGGCTCAGGGTACAGAGCTCAGACCTGAACGAGCACCCCACACTGTCCTGTTGCTCCTGTGGACCCTACAATAATAAATTAGTGTGTCCTCCATGACTTCCAGAGGCTCCACAATAACAAATATATATGATCCCTAAATTCTAGGAAAGCCTGCAGCCAGGCAGCTTACAACCCCGTAGACCCTACAAAAACAAACATGACTCCACATTCTCCCAACCCAATTACACCATGAACACAGGCTCCTGGGAGACCCTACAATAACAAATTCAACTGGGGCATCACTGCCCTCAATGCCTAGCAGCCAGAAGGGCCATTGTGTCCTGGTGGTTGCCAGGACCCAGAATGCCCCATGTGGCTTGTCCATGGAACCTTTCTCCCCTGCAGAACTGGTGCATCAAGCGGCGATCCCAGTCCATCTACCTGCAGGTGCTGACAGACAAGCACGCCCCGGAGCACTACAGGTACTGGGTACCCTCAAAATAGGGTGAGATGGGGGCATGGTGGCTGCCAGCCTTCCCCAGAGATGTCAGTGCTGTACAAAGTGGTATGAGCACCCTTTGGAGTGCTGGTGCAGATTTTGGGTGATATCCCTGGGGCAGGGCTGCTGGGCTGAGCATGTGCCCTGAGTGGGATGCAGGGCAGCAGTGTGGGGGCAGGGGGTGCCCAGCTCTGAGGTCCTCCCCTCTCCTGGCAGGGTCCTGGGCAGTGTCTCGCAGTTTGAGGAGTTTGGACGTGTCTTCCACTGCCCCAAGAACTCGCCCATGAACCCGGTGCACAAGTGCTCGGTGTGGTGAGGCCAATGCCCTTCCAGCAGGCTGGGACCCTCCATCCCCACCCCTGTGACACCCTTTGCCCACTCCCCAACTTCCCATCTCCCCTTCCTATTCTCCAGGTAAAGCGGGTGCCCTTGGGTGTCACAGGGGGTCACCCCAAAGGCAGGAACCTGCCATAGGGGTGTAGGCAGCAGAGACACTTGGGTTGGGCAACTGCCTCCTGCCCTTCCCCCTCCTACCCACTGCCCTGCACACTGAGGGGTCCTCATTCCCCACAGAGGAACAAGGGCATGCCCAGGCACACCTGTACCCCCTTTTCTGTCCATCCAGCCCAAACCATTCACCCAGCCCTACCACATCCATCCCAGTGTCAGTCAAAGCAGGGACAGGACTCCAGAGTTTCCATGGGGGTGCCCCATGGCAAAAGCCTCCCCTGCACAGTGCCCTCCCTGGCATTCCCCATGCCAGCCCCTTCCTGTCCATGCACCAGCCCTGCCAGGGTGGGGCACAGCCACAGAGCCAGGGCTGGGCAACGCCAGCCTGCCTGGGAGCGTGGGCACACGGACATTGCTGTACTTTTCGCTGCTGTTTCTGGTCAATAAAGCACTGGATATACTGGATGGTTGCCAGGGGCTGTGGCCAGGGGATGGGAGCAGTGGGCAGCACCCCCAGCCCTGCCCACATGGCACAGGCACCCCCACTCCATGAACACACCATCCCACCAGTGTCACACCCCGTGTTTATTGAACACCCCACTGCCTGGATTCGCTGTCCCCATGGCTGCTGCATCCAGGCCAGGGATGCTTCAGAAAGCTGTCATCTGCCCGCAGGTGCCACACTGTGGGGAAGGGAGGGGAACATGAATCTGTCCCGTGGGGGCCCCTAGGGACATGGGATCAGTGGAAGAGGGGCAGAAGGAGGGGAGGGAGGAGCAGGGCCAGGGGCGTGGCGCGGATGCCAGGGGCAGAGTTCCCGTGGCGGCAGTCAGTGTAGGGCTCGATGCAGGCGGCGTAGGCCATGATGTGGGCTACACAGGTCTGCTCCTGCACCCCGTGGAAGAGGTGGGCCATAGGACCCTTGGCCAGGATGGCCACATCCTCACCACCATGGCTCTCCGACTTGAGGGGCACGGCCGCCTGCTGCAGGTAATCGAACCGCACTGGGGAGCAGAGAGAAGGGGGTGAGAGGAGCAGTGATGGCCCCCAGCCCCACCCCATCACCCAGCCATGGTCTCTGTGGCCTTACTGGCTGTGTCCTGGTCCACGTTGGGTCGCTCAGTGCCTGGGTATCCTGGCCCATTCCCGTAGAGGATGGATGTGTAGTTCTTCTCGTCAATGGCTGTCTTGGGTGCCAGACCTGGGGAAGGGGCAGTGGAGGGTCAGACAAGGAACACTCCTATCACCCCTCTGGCCACAGTCAGGGTGTCACAGGGCTGGCAGAACCCAGAACAGGGCAGAGCCCCACCGAAGATGGAGGAGCCACGCAGGGTGTAGCCACCAAAGGAGAACACGTGTGAGTGGTCAGCGGTGACAACAGTGAGGGTCTCAGCCTCGTCTGTCAGGGTGCCTGCCCGCTCGATGGCCCGGTCAAACTCCACCGCCTCCGTCAGTGCCTTTTGGGCTGCGCCTTCATGGTGGCCATGGTCGATTCTGCCACCTGCAGATGGCACCCACGGTGGGCTGGGGACTGACAGCATCAAGCCCAACTCCTACCCCCACCCTACACCCCCCTCTCACTGGCCCCAGGGGCACGAGCTCCAACTTATCTTCCACAAAGAGGTAGAACCCTTTGGGGTTCCTGCTCAGGATGGTGATGGCTGCCTCTGTCATCTCACTGAGTGATGGGTCCAGGGTGGCGTTATGTACCAGTTCATACTTCATGTCCCCAGGTTCAAACAGACCTGTAAGGGGATGAGTTGGGGACAGCATCAGCACCTGAGTGTCCCAGAGCCTGTTGGGTCCTGGGACTGGGGTAATTTGTTACCCATCAAATAATTCACGCTGGGGTTGGCCGCAGCAGCCAGCATCTCTGTCCTGTTCCAGACATAGCGGGCACCCTGTGGGCAAATCCCTCAGGGGGTTAGTGGGTGCCTGGCCCTGTGCCAGGGGCAGTGGGCAGGGGACTGTCCCTGAGGCGTCACTCACCGGCCGTGCCTCCACCCACGTGTTGATGAGGTTTCTCCCATCCTCGCGTATCCCGTTCTGCCCGCTGTCAGTGGGGTACTCGGGGTCCGGCGTTCCCACGGGGCTCATGTATTTCCGACCACCACCCATGATCACCTGGAGGGGATGAGGTGGATGAAGCATTAGTGGGGTGCCCTGAGAGGGCTCTGTCCCTGCCCTCCTCCTCCCGTGCGCTCACATTGATGTCGACGTTGTGGACCAGCTGCAGGGCGATGTCCTTGCAGCCCTGCTGCAGCGCCTCCTGGGGCATGCTGGAGTCCGCGTACCAGTTCCGGTCCACCACGTGCGCATAGGTCCCCGAGGGTGACGCGTGCTGCACCCGCGACGTGGTCACGATGCCCACTGACTTCCCTGCCAAACCCCACTCATCAAGCCCCACCGTGGGCAACACAGGATCCCCACCACCAAGCTATGGGATTCTCATGGGGGGAAAGCCCCCAGTGTGGCAGCCCTTGTCCACACAGGGTCCCCCCAGCCCTGCATCCCTCATTACCAGCTTTGCGGGCTCGCTGCAGCACTGAGATCACCTCGTTGCCGGCCGTGGTGTTGCACTGCAAGTATCGGGCGGCCGCGCTCACCCCTATGGTCTTGTAGTTGCCCTTCACCCCGCAGAGATAGGCTGTGGCTGTCGACGCGCTGTCAGGGACGTGCCTGTCCACACTGTAGGTCTGCCGAGGATAGAGGGGCTCAGGGCAGGGGTCCCCAGTGGGGTGTCCCCCGAGCACCCCCTGCCACGCTCATTCACCCACCCATGGACACGTGTGGGATGGGGAGGGACCCCATGCACAACATACGTGCAGCCCTGGGGTGCCAGCAGCCCCATGCCTAGGATCACCATGGCCCCTTTCCAACATGCTGGAATTTACCTTAGAGAGAGCCACGTAGGGGAAAGCATCCAAGGCAAGAGGGGTCTCAGGGCCCAGCTTCCCCTGCAGCTGCGCCTTTAGGATGCGGGTGGCTGTGATGCTGGGGATCCCAAATCCTGGGCAGAGAGAGGGTCCTGGTCACCCTCTGGACCAGGTGCCCTCCACACATCCCACTCAGCAGAGTACTGGCCATGTCAACCTGCCTGCCAGGGGTGCCAGTGGGACTCACCATCCCCAAGAAAAAGGAGGAGGTTTTTAGCTTGGCTTCTCCTGGGTTGGATTTTCAGGGAGGCTTCAATGGCTGCAGCTGCCTTCTTGTTCCAGAAGGATGGTTTCTCCTCCTCCGCTGGGACAGTGCAAACATCCGTCAGTCCCAGCTCACCAGAGTCTGCACCCCCAGGGAACCCCTGCAGGGTACCCACACCCCAGGGATACTTGTTCCCTGGGCACTCCCATGCTGGGGCCTCCTTTCACATGGACCAAGTGGCTGGGGGAGCTATTTGGGATGGGGCAAGACCATGCAGGCTTGCACCGACTGCTGGGCCCCAGGGTCCTGGGGCAGGGAACAAGGGGGACAGCAAAACCAGATATGATGGGACAGTTACCTGGCAAGTGGGATGGGGAAAATCCATGGTAGGGAGTGGTGATAGAGGATATAGGCACTTCCCCCAGACCAGCCCCCGGCACAAAAGCAAGCAAAAACATGGGGGAAAATTGGTTCCAAAACCCCAGAAGAGCAGGGGTAACTAACCCCCATTAATCCTTGTTTGGCTGGGCAGCCTCAGCTTCCCTCCCCAAGCCCTCCTTGTGGCCAGCCAGGCTGACACCCTGCTTCCCTGGACACCCACCACAGCCAGCCGGCCACCCATCCCCATGCTTGTCCCCACCTGGGATGATAGCGGTGCTGAACCCTGCGCAGAGGCAGAGGATGAGGGATGCCAGGAGCCGCATGTTGAGATCTGACAGGCCAACACTGCTGGCAGTGTCTGTAAATTCAGCAGATCTGGGGAGGGACTTTGGACAGGGATCAGCCCTAGCAGGGTGTGTGCTCCAGCGCGTCTCTGCCAAGCAACTCGGACAAAGGCCGGGCTGATGGCACCTCCCTGGCACAACCTCCTGTGGCTGATGGGCACAGATGTGCTTGGGACACAGTCAGATGCGGGGAAAAGAGGATGTGCAGTGGTGACAGGAAATCTTGTCCTGGCCATGGTGGCATGGTGCGCATGGTGCCTGTCCCAGGGTGCCACGGGCAACTCTGAGCATTGGACCCGGGATAACGGTGGGTATGGGGAACACCTGGGGTCACTCCTGCACTGAGCACCCTGCTCTCTGCCCAGGCTTTCTTGAGGAATAAATCCAAGGATGCAGACTAAAACTCTGCTCCTTGCTCAGGCCTGGAAATGGAAGTACCAGCCTTTGTGTACTGTTCCCCAGCCAGGCAAAGCTGGGGAGGACACTGCCTCCCCTCACTCGCATTTCAACATCTCCTTCACCCCAGTGCCTCCAGTGCTGGTCCCAGGGGAGAACCAGGAGCCACAGGTGACTGGGGAGGCAGGCACGGAGCAGCACCTCAGGAGGGGACCACCACTGTGAACCTTTGCACGGCGGATGGAGACAAAGAACCTGTGCTTTATTGCATTGCTTGGTCCTGTCCACAGTGAGACTCAGCCAGAGCCTCTTAGCCCCTCACTATGAGGGCAGCCATGCAGAGGGCCAGGAGGGCAAGCAGGGGCTGTGGGGAGCACTGTGTGCCATGGGAGGCTCTGCGGGCTGCCCTGCATCCAGGCTCTGTGGCATAGGGCTCGAGGCAGGCAGCGTAGGCCATGGCATGGGCGATGTAGTGCTGCTCCTGCACCCCGTGGAAGAGGTGGGCCATGGGGCCCTGGGCCATCACCACCACGTCTTCCCCACTGTGAGTCTCTGTCTCCAGGGGCACAGCTGCCTGCTGTCTGTAATCCTTGTCTTCTGCAGGAGGAAAAGGAGAAATGAGGCTGGGAGTCTGGCTCCTTGACATGTCACAGGGATGGGGGGACCACTCCCTTCACTCCTGCATCAGTGAGATTTCTGCCCAAGTGACTCCTGAGCCTCACAGTGGCACCAGGACCTTGTGTGGCTCCTGTGTTCATGCCAGTGGGATGCTGTCCCCAGCAGACTCACTGGGAATCTGTCCCCAGCCACCCCGTGGCTCTGCCACATCCCCAGCAGACCTGCGGCAGGGAGGCTGGCAGCTGGACGGGCCCCGTCACGGATGCTGTAGCCAGGACCATTGCCATAGAGGATGCTGGTGTAGTCTCGCTTGTCCTTGGCTTTCTTGGGGGCCAGCCCTGGCACAGGGAAAGACATTGTCACACCCTGTCCCAGCTGGGCACCTCTCCCTAGCTCCCTGACTGGGCAGGCTCAGCCTCCCGTGGGAGCAGCAGGGTGAGGTGGAAAGAGAGATGCTCACTGCCCCTCTCCAGGACCCACCAAAGATGGAGTTGCCACGTGGTGTGCTGCCCCCAAAAGTGAAGACATGGGAGTGATCGGCTGTCACCACGGTCAGGGTGTCAGCGGGGGAGGTGAGCTCGCCGGCCCGTGCCACCGCCCGGTCCAGCATCACGGCCTCCATCAGCGCCTGCTTGGCCCGGCCACTGTGGTGGCCATGATCAATTCTGCCACCTGCAAGGGGAATGTGGCTGTCACCTTCTCCCTGGTCCCCTTGGATGGCCACCTGCTCCCAGGACCTACATCCCACCTCAGCCCCAGCCACACTGCCCGCCTGGAGCTACTCATCTTCCACAAAGAGGAAGAAGCCATTGGGGTTCCTGCGCAGGATGCGGATGGCCTTTTCTGTCATCTCCACGATGGAGGGGTCTGTGGATGTGTTGCGGTTCAGCTCATACTTCATGTCCTTGGGCTCAAAGAGGCCTGGGGGAGGAGGGTGAGGGGGTCCATGCTGGGGCTGGTTTGTGCCCCTGCTGACCCCTACAGAGAGGGGAGGAGGAGGAAGTATTGCCATTGGGGCAGGCAGTAATGCTCCTACCCATAAGGTGGCTCACAGAGTCATCTTTGACCGCATCCAGGCCCTTCTTGTCCCAGACGTAGCGGGCACCCTGCCAGCGAGAGCAGAGCCAGTGCCAATGGCACACACCCTGTGCCAGGAGTCACGTTTCCTCTTCCCCTGCATGCTACCTTCTTGGCACTCAGCCACTCCGCAATCAAGTCCCGGCCATCCTTCCTGGTGCCATTTTGATCCGGATCCTCTGGGTACTCGGGGTCCGGAGTCCGCTTGGGGGTCATGTACATCCTCCCGCCGCCCAGGATCACCTGCCGTGGGAGCTCAGCAGACCCTGCCAGCGTTCCTGGTGCCCCCTCCCTCCCGCTCCCGCTCCCCAGCTCACGTTGATGTCAGTGTTGTGTATCAGCTGGTCGGCGATGTCCTTGCAGCCGTCCCGCAGGGCCTCCTTGGGCATGTTGGTGTCAGCGTACCAGCTCCGGCTGGCCGAGTGCGCGTAGGCTGCCCCGGGGGACGCGTGCTGCACCCGCGTGGTCGTCACAATGCCCACAGACTTGCCTGCAGCGTGGGCAAGGGTTTACAGGGAGTCCATCCAGCCCTGCATGGCACTGAATAGCCATGCCCGGCTTTCCGGCAGGGTTTCCTGCTGCCCCGTACCCGCCAGCCTGGCCCGGTGCAGGACAGAGTCCACCTCATTGCCAAAGGTGGTGTGGCATTTTCCATAGATGGCTGCCCCGCTCAGTCCCAGAGTCTTGGCGTTGGCCTTCACCCCACAGAGGTAGGCAGTGCCCGTGCCAGCGCTGTCGGGCACCTGGCGGTCGATGGTATAGGTCTGGAAGCAGGACGGGTGCAGTGGGGCTCCAAGCAGGGGCAGCAGGAGTGTCTCCCCAGCACTGCCCCACTCACCTTGGCCAGGGCCACATGGGGAAAGGTCTCCATGGCCAAGACACTCTCCTCGCCTGAGCCACCGGCCAGCTGCCCCTTGTAGATCCGAGCTGCTGACACGGTGGACACCCCCATGCCTGTGGGCATGTCAGAGTCACCGGGTGGCAGGGGGCCAGGACTAGAGACAGCCCTGCCCTCCCCAGGCACTGCCCGAGGGCTCGTCCCAGCCCCAACTCCTCATCAGCCCTGTCCCCTGGCTGCTGGGGAGCTGCAGGGCCTGGCAGTGGCCCGGGGCACTCACCATCACCCATGAAGAGGATGATGTTTTTGGCCCGCTGTGCTGCTGGGTGCAAGGCCAGGGCCAATTCCAGCCTTCTCCTGGCACCTCTATTCCAGTAGCTCGGGGTCTTCTCAGCATCTGGAGGTGAGAGCAGAGCTGGGAGCCTCCAGGTGCACCCCAAGGGGTCCAGCATGGCCATCTGTACCCGAATGAGGTGAATATAGCTGCTATAAGCCCCCCTCACTGGAGGTCCAGGAAACGCCTGGAGATCAGCACTGCTCAGAAACCACCTGCAAAAGGGAAACTGAGGCACAGTTTGTCAGGGAAGTCCCTTGTGCCTCTTGGCAGAGTGGATGAGGAGCCTGAGGATCAGCCACAGCAATCCCATAGCTGGGTAACCACGGCTGGCTGTGGCTATTGGGCCACTTTATCCAAAGTCAGGGATGGGGGCTGGGAGCAGCAGGGATGGGGGCGGGGAGCAGGGCCTGCTTTGGGGGCAGGGGGCTGAGACCAACCCATTCAAAGGTTGTGGTCTCAGAGCACCCTGAGGTGGCTGCGAGGGTTCCCGTTTGCTGGTATCCCACGGGGAGGTGACATGGTCCCTGGAGATCCCCAAGGAAGTGACACCAGCCCCAGCATCCCCCACCAGAGGCTCTTACCCCACTGTCCCGCACGTCCCCTGTCACCAGAGGCTGCAGCGGCGAGCTGGGCGAGGAAGCAGAGGAGAAGGCAGGTTCCAGGGGAAAGCGGCCGTCCCATGCTGCCCACCCCGGCTCCCTCCTGGAATGCTGCCTTGGTCCAGGGCGAGGGCACCGCCCTTTATGGCTCTTCCCTGTCCCGTGAGACGATGGGCTGATAACATTCACGGACTACCTCCCAGCCCTCCCAGGGCCCTCCCAATGCCCTCGCCCCTCCCTGAGGCCATCCCTGCCCCCCAGCAGCAAGGCAGGACCTCCAGCCTGTCCCTGAGGACCAGGGCACCTCTGGGCCCCAGCTCCCATGGGGGTGGATGCCTGCAGGACCCCGGGGAGCAGGAGGGAGAGTGCAGGGCAAAGGGCTGTTTTTGCAGACAGGCTGAGCTGGGCCAGGCTGGATTTGCCTGGTTTCCCCTGAGACAAACCTGAGGAGGGGGACACCAGGCTGAGGGGTAGGAGATGGACATCTTGGCTTTGGTGTCAGTGTCCTCTGGTCCCCTCTCCCAGCAGTCACACGCTGCCCATCAGCTCCTGGGACAGCTGGTGCCTGACATACTGCCCTGGGGCAGCCCATGCCAGCACACCTGCACAGCGGGTACCT